GGAACAGGGGAAAAATCACATATAAGCCATTGCAAGAACTTCAGCATTGAGCAAAACGGAAAGGAATTGGACAGTTTGAACAGAAGAGCAAAAGGACCTACCTGAACTCTTAAAAGACCCCCTTTTGCTGTCTTAAGGTGGGCTAATAAAGAAGTAGAAAGACCAGTTATAAGAATATTGTAAAAATTTAGTCATGAAGATAATGCTTAGACCAAGGTGGTAGAACTAGTAGTTGTTTGAATAAATCATCTTCTGGTTAATTTTGGAAGGAAGAGCTAACAGGATTTGATGACGAATTGGATGGTTGGTGTGAGAGAAAGAGAGGAGTCAAGCTGACCTCAAGACTCTAGCAGAGCACCTGGTACGATGGAAATGGCCTCAACTCAAACAGGACAGGCTGTGACTGGGAGACCAGGAATTCAGTATGGGGCAGTTTAAGGCTGAGAGGCTCTATTAGGCATACAAGTATATTCTAGATAGACATTTGGATAAACAAGTCTGGAGTAGTGGAGAAGTCCTGGTTAGAGACCTAAATTTCCAAATTATTACCTCACAGGAGAATTTAAAGAAACAACAGTGGATGAGTGTGGGCAGAGAAGAGAAGNGACATCTGAAAAGTATGGAAAGTTCAGAAATAGACCCAAACCTGTATGGAGAATTGATTTTCTCCAATGGTACAAAAGCAATTCAATAGTGAAAAGAAATATTTTTTGATAAATAGAGTTGGAACTACTGAATGCAAACATGCAAATAATTATCCTTGACTATATTTCAAACCTTATACCAAAACACAAAAACCTAAAACAAAAATAACAAAAAAATCCCCTACTCTAAGTGAAGCATAAGCCTAAATATGTCATATAAAATAAAATGTTTAGAAGAAAACTTTAAAAGAAACATAGAAAAAACTCTGTGAAGTTGGTTTAGCCAAGAGCATTATCCATAAATGGAAAAATTGATGAAGTAGATCAAAATTAAAAACCTTTGCTGTGCAAAAGATGCTCTTATGAGAATGAAAAGGCGAGGCACAAACAAGAAGAAGATATTAACAAATCATGTATCTGACAAGAGACTTGCATCAGAATGTAAAAACAACTCTCAAAACTAGGCAATTTTGTGTTCTTGAAAAATGCTGAGTGTACATTTTAAATGTTTGCACCACAAAAATGATAACTTTGTGAGGTAACACATACATTAATTAGCTACATTTAGCCATTTTGCAATGTATATATATATTTCAAAATGTCGTGTTGTANTATTACCTCACAGGAGAATTTAAAGAAACAACAGTGGATGAGTGTGGGCAGAGAAGAGAAGAGTCCAAGAAATAAACACTATGAAATTCTAACCCTATGACATCAGGCAAATGAGAAAGAACAAAGCAGTAGACAGCAGAAAAAGCAGCCAACGAGACAGGAAGAAAATCAAACAAGAGGGGTGCCCTAGAAATATAAGGAGGAAAGGGTTTCCTGGAGGAAGGAGTAATGAAATGCATTAAATCTGCTGAACACTGTAGGGTGAGGACCCATACCTGACCGATAGATTTAGCAAAGTGAGGGTCATTGGTGACTTTGACAAGATTATTTTTGGTGAAGCGATGGGTAAAAATCTAATTGAAGTGGGTTCAAAAAATAAAGGTAGATTCGAAGATTTAATATTTTTAAAATGTCAATTCTCTCCAGATTGATCTACAGATTTAATGAAATCTCAATCAAAATTTCATCAAGAACTAAAATCACCTAAAAAAAGAAGAATTTTGAAAAAGAAGAAAAGGTGGAGGATGCACACTCTCTGATTTGAAGATTTGCTATAAGGCTGTGGTCATGAAGACAGTATCACGGTGGTGGAAGTATAGACATCTGAAAAGTATGGAAAGTTCAGAAATAGACCCAAACCTGTATGGAGAATTGATTTTTCTCCAATGGTACAAAGGCAATTCAATAGTGAAAAGAAATATTTTTTGATAAATAGAGTTGGAACTACTGAATGCAAACATGCAAATAATTATCCTTGACTATATTTCAAACCTTATACCAAAACACAAAAACCTA